CTAGAAGAGAAATAAGAAATATGGAACGTCATCTTTGTGTCAATGATAAAGTCGAGTACGCTCGTTGAAAGTGTTGTTAATACAAGCAAATATTTCAAAGTAATAGCATTCTTGAAGTGGAAAAATGAAAGTTATAGGCCCAAAAAATCAAAAACTTTTACGTTTGAACAAGTCCAGCGGTTTATAAATGAGGCGCCAGATGAAAAATATTGGATGATGAAAGTTGCTACTATTTTCGGAATATATGGAGCTTGCTTGCGTGAAGAGCTGTGCCATTTATCGATAGAAGACATGAAATTATTGGATAAATCATTGATTGTTCAAATTCCAAATAGAAAAACGGAAGTAGGTCGCTCTTTTTGCATTGTTGGAGAAAAAAATTCTCAAAGTCGAAATTTATTTGAATTGATATCATTTCTGATAAAACGTTTATGAACGAAGAGGCAAAACATTGTTTCCCTATTTTGTTATCATGAAGAAATAATCACTGTAAAAACTTTCTCAATGTTGAAATAACTAGTTCAGGATTTTTCCAATCATCGTGAATTTTTTCTATCAATTTATTTATTCATTTACTGAAAAGAATTTGACGATCATATAATTTTTCAAAAGTAATCAAAATTCCAAAAAGAGTCATTTTTCTTCATTTTGTTAACGATGAAATTTTCGTAAATTTCGTAAATTGTTGGCACGGGTGCCTCACGAAAATTGGAAAAAAAATCCTGTCTAACAATAATAGCTACAATTTCGCTTTTCAACTTATTTAAACGATCTTATACAGTATGATACACTTGAGATGAAGACATCCCTGTATTTCAGTCAAATTTGAAAGCGAAGATTCATTGAAGAAGATGAACTTATCTGCTTGTTGGTAATTCATAGACAAGTGATTATACCTAGCGTATATTACCGCCGTTATCAATGACAATAACAATTATACTTTCACATTTGTGTTCTGATTATTTGAATAATTCCTAACTTTGAAATAATGAATATTGTGATGAAATTCGTAGATAATTGATGAAAATCCATAATGTATTCAATTGGACTGATTAAAAAGGAGCAGGGAGTACTCCTAACAAACAACAGTGACAATGAATTCAACAATAATTTCGTAGATATTTGAAAGAAATTCGCAAATAAGATAGTCAAAAATAATAACCTCGTTTTTGATCCAAACATTTCACCAAACTATTTTGTCTTAAGCCTAACTGATAAAAATGAAGTTTACGCTTTAATTTTCCATCTTAAAAACGAAAAGGCGGTAGGAAAAGACGAAATCAAAGTAGAACTGCTAAAATCAATATCACATTTTATACCAGATTCTTCAGTTTTTATTCACTTGGTGTGTGGCCCGAATCATTCAAAACCGCACTAGTGACTTATATCCATAAAAAACGAGATAAAACTGAAATCACAAAATATAGATAGACCAACCTTGCTTATCACCTATCTGTCAAAAATCTTCGAAAACTTGCTAAAGAATAGAATAAACTCATTTGTAACCAAATACGAATTGATTTCAGATAGATAATTAAGCTTCAAAGAAGAAACCTCAACCCAACCGAAGACACGATTCTTGAACTGACAGAAATGATACCTGAATCCTTGGAGGAAGGAAAACCTTCCTTATGTCTATTTATAGACCTAACGAAGGCTTTTAATACTCTCGTTCATTAACAACTTCTACAAACTTTAGATAATAATGGTATCAGAGGGAACTGCCAAACGCTTCAAAGAATACTCCAGATTGGCTCCTCAGGGATCGTCTTTCACCAACTCTTCGACAGAAGCGCCTTGCAAGCAACAATTTTGACAGCTACGCTATAGTTTATTCGATGCGTGTCACGTGCGTGAGAAAATTATAATTTTTCAAAAGTAATAAAAAATCCAAAAAAAGTCATTTTTCTTAATTTTCTTAACGATGGATTTTCGTAAATTTTGTAAATTGTTGGCACGGGTGCCTCACGAAAATTGGAAAAAAATTCCTGTCTAACAATAATAGCTACAATTTCGCTTTTCAACTTATTTAAACGATCTTATACAGTGAGATACACTTGAGATGAAGACATCCCTGTATTTCAGTCAATTTTGAAAGCAGAGATTCATTGAAGAAGATGAACTTATCTGCTTGTTGGTAATTCATAGACAAGTGATTATACCTAGCGTATATTACCGCCGTTATTAATGACAATAACAATTATACTTTCACATTTGTGTTCTGATTATTTGAATAATTCTTACTTTGAAATAATGAATATTGTGATGAAATTCGTAGATAATTGATGAAAATCCATAATGTATTCAATTGGACCAATTAGAAAGGATCAGGGAGTTCTCCTAACAAACAACAGAGACAATAAATTCAACAATAATTTCGTAGATATTTGAAAGAAATTGGCAAATGAAATAGTCAAAATTAAAAACCTCGTTTATGATCCAAACATTTCACCAAACTATTTTGTCTTGAGCCCAACTGATAGAAATGAAGTTCACGCTTTAATTTTCCATCTTGAAAACGAAACGAAAAGGCGGTAGGAAAAGACGAAATCAAAGTAGAACTGCTAAAATCAATATCACATTTTATACCAGATTCTTCAGTTTTTATTATTAATAAATGTATATCACTTAGTATGTGGCCCGAATCATTCAAAACTGCACTAGTGACTTCTATCCATGAAAAACGAGATAAAACTGAAATCACAGACTATGGATAGACCAATATTGCTTATCACCCATCTGTCAAAAATCTTCGATAAATTGCTAAAGAAAAGAATAAACTCATTTGTAACCAAATACGAATTGATTTCAGATAGATAATTTAGCTTCAAAGAAGAAACCTCAACCCAAGCGAAGACACGATTCTTGAACTGACAGAATTGATACATGAATCCTTGGAGGAAGGAAAACCTTCCTTATGTCTATTTATAGACCTAACGAAGGCTTTCGATACTGTCGTTCATCAACTACTTCTACAAACTTTAGATAATAATGGTATCAGAGGGAACTGTCAAACGCTTTTTGAAAGCTATCTTCGAAATAGAAAATGCAATTTGTGCGAATTGCAGTTACAATTAGCAATCAAAAACAAATAGAATGTGGAGTCCCACAAGGTACGGTAGTGGGTCCTCTGCTTTTCAATTTATATCTAAATGAATTATTCAATTTCGACAGTGGTAGAAAAATAATTGAATACGCAGACGATACTGCGTTATTCTATGAGGCAGACTTGGCTTGATTTGAAAAAGAACGTAGAAACAGATTTCCACTTGCTCAAAAAAATCGTTTGACCAAAGGCTCCCGACAGTGAATCAGAAAAAAACTAATTTTCTTTCATTTAGCTGCAATTTATCCAATGATTGTCCATTTGAAACTCTTGATGTCGGCGAACAAGAAAAAACACTAAAAATAGATTCTCTGAGAGAAATCAAATACTTGGGCGTCTACATAGATAGAAACTTAAGGTGGGACTCTCATATAGAATATATAATAAAAAACTGCAAACAATACTTCACAACTTCCGTTCCTCGAAAAATTACTTACCTCAAAAAGAACTTAAACAATTTCCTAGTGGGCAACCATTTGAGATATGATATAACAGCATACGGATCAGCTCTGCGTGATCATGTCTACAAATTCACGTTTCTCGTCAGATCTCCTGTATAGAGAGTGTGAAGCTATGGATATGAGACAATTATATTACTCTTGTACAAAAGTGAAGTATCATTTCAGCAAAAATAAAGTATCATCACGAAACCACGACTATAACACACGACATCCTACTGTTAAAAAGTATATTTTACAAAGAGCATATTATTTTATGACAACTAAATTATATAACAGTGTACCTCACAAACAAAAATTCTTATTCCAAACCAATATTAAAAAAACAAATAACAAAACTCATTCTCGAAAAAGATGGACAATTTGAAAAAAATCTGTTACAATGAACTAAGTTAGTCTCAGTCAAATTTATCCCAAAGTTGTGTCATACTGTATTGTAAGTGGCATAATCTTATCCATATTGCCTAAGATTTTATCTATTTGAACATTAATATTTTATTCTCATGAAACGTGTAATATTTGTCCAAGGTTTTATCTATTTTTCTAATTTTTTGTTTCTCTAGTATTTAATTGGCCTATTTCACTTGAAGCCGAAATATCATTTATTTAATGATAACGCCAAATTCACAAAATTCAATAAAATGTTTTCTAGTTTCTACTGCATGAACGCCATACTAACTTTTATACAAATATTTATATACATATATACATATTCTTTATAACTTCTCGCGAAACAAGAGCTCTGCTCTTATCGCCAAACCACTTCGTTCACATATTTTGTATCAATTCAACTCTAATCTGTGTTTGTTGTGAATAAAGTTATTATTATTATTAACATATTATTGTGAGATTTTCACTGAATAGAACTGCCTCTGTTATTTGTCTCCAGGAAGATGAATTTGAAGTGTACGAGTACGAGTATTTCGTGAGGTCTTTTTTGACATATGTGATGGAAATCCCTGTTTGATATTTCACAATAAAGTTATATACTGGGTATTTTTATATTATATATCTCAGTATAAAAATACTGCCCTGATGTTTTACATTCCATTATATAACTGTTATTTTGAAGTTCAAACTGGTGATACGAGAATATTGAAATATTTATTGTTTCTGTTTGAAAACATCTGTTTAAAATCTGTTTTTCCGTTAATCAGCTGCCGCCCCCATACGAACGACAACTCTCAGAAATTGAGAAACTTGTGCGAGCTAAGGACTAACGAGGTATTACCTTTTAACGTGTGATTCCTAACACGGTTGCAGAATCATTCCAGCTCCAACCAGATAAATTATCTCGAGAAAAATATCTGGTCGAGGCGGGAATCGAACACACGACTTTCCGATCGTGAGTCGGACGCACTACCACAGCGGCCAATTACACAACTTCTATTAGACTTCCATGTTTTGTTTCTGAAGATTTTTTTTATATTTTCCAGCATTACCTGAAGAAGATCCAATCATTACAGGCGTCGAGATGGAATATCAAATTGGCGATGAGATAAATTTGAACTGCACATCGGGAAAAAGTCACCCTGCGTCTATTCTCCACTGGTATATCAACGAACAAAGGGTAAGAACCATTGATTTGAAGTTATTAACGTTTTTCCAAGTTTCGAGCAGGAAAGCATCTACTCAGTGAATAATCTGCACTGAGAGAGAAAGAGAGAGAGAGAAGAAATCACGAGAGAAGAAAAACTCAAATCAGTATTCAAGAACAACTCACATTGCCATAATATAAAGAATTTTCCGCAAAAATTTAAATATCGTTTTAAGTTTGTTACTGAAGGGGACAAATTTTGATGAAAAAAACTATTAGAAAACCTTGATAAAAAAAACTATTAGAAAATCCTTAATTCTTTGAGCGAGAATGTCATCCTTCGAATTATTTTTCATTCGAGATATGAGTCCTGTGATACCTCATTGAGAATGGTTAGGTTTATTGCTGCTTCGCTTTAGGAAACTGGTCCCATTTTATAAATCTAGACAGTATTTCGAAAAGTTCACAAATCGAATGGACTTTACTCAAAAATCAACGCTGGTGTTCCCCAGGGATCCATATTGTCTCCAACTCTCTTTTTATTGTATGTCAACGACTTATTGAAAAAAAACAAGAATCCAATATATTGCTTTGCTGACCACAGCACACTAGTTTCGTTATTACATATGGATTCCAGGACATCTGCTGCGGATGCACATCTTCAACGACAGCAGGAGAATCTAGAAATAATTTTGAACTGGAGTGAAATTAACCAATATCAATTCAATGCCACAAAAACCCAGGTATCGGTTCTCTCCAAAAAGAAAAATGTCAGGTCAGACAATTCCGCTTTCTGCTTCGATAAGTTTGTTGAAGGTTAAAATATATACCAATATGTCTTGGCACAATCATGTCGCTAGAATTACAGAGGCTGCTTCTCAAAAGTTGGAACACTGTTCCGAACCAGAAAACTGTACACACCTCATTAACTTTTGATGCTTCATAAAGCTCAGATCATACTTTCTTTGGAGTATTGTTCTCATGTATGAGGCTCCGCCCCCAAACATACCCTGAAACTGCTGGATTCCATCCAGAAAAGAGCCATCCGCCTGATTGTAGACGCGAACATCATGTGCAACCTTGATAGCCTGGAACATCGAAGAAAGTTTGGAATTGTCTCTCTTCTGTAGATACTTTCACGGGAGGTGTTCAAGTGACTTGGCACATTTGATTCTACCAAGAGCGGTACATATCAAAAATACGCGACGGACTGTGGCTGCCCATTGTTTTGAGGTTCAACTCTGTACACTTCGAACTTCTTTGTTTGGGAACTATTTCATTTGGAGAATGGCGTTTATGTGGAATAAACTTCCTGAGAACTATTTTCCAAATAGATTTAATCTCCAGCGATTCAAATCCAATGTGAATCACTACTGCTGCTCTAAGAGCGCCTTAACGATTTTCCTGCAGCGCTTGTGTTTTGTCCTTAAAAAAATTGAATACTGAAACTGTCGTTCATTTAATTACTAACAACTTATGAGCAATGTAAAGGAGCACTATCTTCCTGGAACATGATTTTCTAATAAATGTACGCAATATGCTTTTTTGTGATTTTATTTAGTAGGTCGCGGTTCGCTGATCAAGTTATCATCATCAGGAGATGACTGAAGATAAATCTAAAATTGATATTTTCATACATATCTGGAAGAACCGGCACTTTACGTAACTAATAAATAAATTACTAGTGTAACTCATGTTGTTATTGTACCTGATGTTAATTACCATAAAATAATAATGATATGTATTTATTTACTTTCTTAAAATTGTTTACAGTAAAATCACATGAACATATAGAAATGAACAGTAAACAAATAAATTTCATTTTAGTAGGCAAAATGATCGGCCTGTGTATGAGGAATGATATACAGTGTGTAAAAGCCAAAAGGAATAAATTCATTATTTTGGTTACTGTACATATTCTCAAAAAATCCCAAAACACGTCAAATGTGAATTATAATTTGACATTCTTCAACGTAAAAATGCCACCCCTACCTTCAAACTCCTTCGAATGACATTTTCTATTAAAAAATGTTATCGCTTTCAAACTTATTGCAACAATCAAGATAAAATAAATTAAAATCATGTGGTTACCGAAATTGTATAAAATACACTCAAAAACTGAAATGTAATGCAAAACGTAATGAAAGGTAGAATACGAAAAAATGAAACTATTGATGGTAACGAAGTAGATGTTCAAAAGGTTCACCGCGAACGTCTTGGCAACATCTAAAACTGTCTTCTCACATTATTTAACATATTAGGCGTGACCGACCTAATCGCAAGCGTTATTCGTTCTTTCGAGTCATTCAAATCTGAAGGTTTAGTTTTGTACACATTGCTCTTTACATATCCCCATAAAAATAAATCAGATGATTAAAAATCAGGTGAACGTGCTGGCCATTCAATCGATCCTTGCCTCCCTATCCACTGATTGGGAAATGTTGTATCGTGGTATTGCCGGACATTGACTTGGTAATGTGGTGGTGCTCCATCCTGCTGAAACCATATCGTATTCACTGAAACTTTAGGGTTTCCTGGGTCAGGATATAAATTTGCTAAACTTGGAATGACATCATTTAGAAGTAGTGCCAAACAATCATCGCCATTCAAGTTGCCCTCAATGAAAAAGGAACCAATGTTATGGTTTCTTACAATCCCTGTCCAAACATCAACCTTTTGAGGGTATTGCGTGTGTTCTTCTATCATCCAGTGAAGATTTTCCGTTGACCAGTAGCGGCAATTTGGCCGATTAGCATGACAAGAGACAAAGTAAACTCATCAGAAAACATAACATCTCCTAACTGGATGATATTGTTATCTAACATGTCCATCAGTTGCTCACAAAAATAAGTTCTTTCATCAAAATTGTCTTCCATGAGCTCCTGAGTAGGAATCATTTTATAGGGATGCATTTTACTTTCTTTTAATGTTTAGTATCGATGTATGGCTAGTATTGAATGAAGTAGATTCCTGCCTACTGTATATATGTAGGTTTTTCTCAAACTCAAGCATCATATCTAATTTGAGTTTATCACTCATTGCATTGGCAGCTGCTTCTTTGATATGCCCCACATGACCAAGCTCGTGAAACTGCTTCTTTACTTTGCTTATTGTTCCTTGAGATATGGGCGGTAAATTAGGGAATTTCTCATGAAATAGGCGAGCTACTTCCTGTAAAACTGTTATTTCATCTATTTCCGTCAATCTAACCATTTGTCAGACTAGAAGTTCACGAACTTTAAACTTAAATTAAAATACTGACAACTAATATTATAACATACAAAACAAGTTGACAAGGCGTTTTAAACTAACGTTGCCACGGAAATTATTTAGTTTTTTAAAAGATACCATCTAAAAAGAACATTGCTATTGTTTTTGCTCACTAATCGCTTGATACTTTAATATGAAATATGTTTTGAGTATATTGCAATAAGTTTTGAGTGTATTTTATCGAATTTCGGTAACCACATGATTTTAATTTATTTTTTCTTAATTGTTGTGATAAATTCGAAAGCGATATCATTTTTGAATAGAGAATGGAGAGACCTTTCCAACGATGTATCACAAGCCTATACTTCCCCTTTGAAAAATTGGGGTTGTATTGTCATTCGACAGGGGTTGGAGGTAGGGGTAGCATTTTTCCGTTGAAGTATGTTAACTCATAATTTAAATTTGACGGGTTTCCGGATTTTCTCAAAATATGTACTGTAACTCAAATAATGAATTTATTCTATTTGGCCTTTACACACTGTATATTCGTTTCTGTTATCGGTAACAAATTGATCTATTATGAAAACAATCACGAAGGTGACAGGATGATTGAATACTTCTCAAATATTATATGTCTAGACCCCTTATTTCGTTAGCCGTTGCATGTCAGACAGAGTTCTTTCGGAAAGTTTGATCACGGGTATCATCTGAGTTTTGGGTGAGTAAATTTATCGTTGGAACACCTGGTATATGCTGATGTAACTCATGCCCAAGAATGTATCCATCTCACAGTATGTCACATAACAATTTTGCATTATCAGTATTGCACAGTATCATTATTTTTTTGATAGAACTGATTTCGAAAAACTTTCAGTTATTTGACGGGTAACTGGAACAGTAGATACAATCAGACTTCTCAGCCAAAAGTAGGAATGAGTCGTGATGAATCATTGCACAAAAATTTCAATTGATTCAGACTTTTCGCAGAGACACGATTTTCATGTGAATGTAAAATTTTGTTGAAATGAGAAAACGTTCCGTAGAAAGTAAGGTTCAAGAATGTCTAACTTTCAGGTGGAAACGGTAGTTGACCACTAAGAACACTCGGTGTTGCCAAAGTTCAAAATATAAGTGGTATGTCTCTCGTAACTCAATGTCAACAATAATACTACCACTTGTCATGTGTCAATTTTCTTTTGTTCCAGATACAGAAAAAGGAGGCTCTCATCACATATCCGAACACTCACCACCCCAAAGACCTTATATCTTCAACATTAGGCCTGACATTCAAGCTAAGCAATCACCATTTTCGAGGAGGTTCAATGAGAGTGAAGTGCGTCGCTTCTATAGCCCCGATACTGTACCAAAGCGACAAAGAGAGCGTGGTCCAGACCCAGAGTGTTCCCATAAGGGAGGCACTCCTTCTTGGTGAGTGGTCTATCTACGTAGAAAAATTTGATGGTAGGCACATTTTATTCAAACATCACTTGATATCTGCATAAACAGTGTGAAGCACTCTTTGGAACCTTTGGTGTAGTAATGAATCTGATTGGAGTTTCTTCCCAACACCAAACTGTTATTTTAACACATCGACACATGTTGCAATATCACAGGCCTCAATTACTTCTTTCCTTGTGACATTTCATGAAGCCATTTTCACAATTATGTTTCCTATATTAGTTTGTACAGGTTATTTATGACATTCTCCTAAATATAATTTGTGATTTCTCCAAATTGCCTGCCTCCTGTAAACCAATGTCTGATTCGCATAAAACATGAAGAGATACCTTTTGTCATTTTTTTTTGGGAAAGAAAGTTTTTGGTTTTCTACTAATCCATTTTGATACAAAAAAAAAGGATGAGGGATTCTTCTTTCCCAAAAATTAATCACTCCTAAAAACATAACCTCTTCAATTCACTTTTTGTCATATATTGGTTAGCTCATTAACCTTCACATATAAAAACAGTATCATTTTTTGTACCTTTCTGTCGACCTGCGATAAGCAGAATACATTGTCAGTTGATAAATAGAGTGCGACATTGAATAGTTCAAATTAACGTAGCGGTGTTATAATTTCCACACCTTGGTCTTTACCTGAAAACTTTCAGGATATAACACCTTTGTTCATTTATCAGCTTGCCTACTGCTGCTCCAATATGCAGACAATATAAAGACAATTATTAAGCCTGAATAGCCGATTGTTATGCCATTTTTATCCATTCTCACATATCGACGCAAAGATTCCGGTTTGTCATATTTAAGCATGTCCAAACACTGCTCAGAACCATCAAGGCTTTCTAATTTTTAGTCAACAGTATCCAATATGCAGACAATACACAATTATTCAGTCTGAATAGACAGGGTCCAGGGAGAAGCCTTGTAATTATTTAGAGCCCATGCGTTTTTGTTGAAGCTATTATTGAATTTCCTTTTCAGACATTCTCAAAGATATATTCCTCCGTACTTTTTTGTTATTTATTGACCCATCTTCTGACCTGATTCCATCTTCTGGGAATTATATTTGACTCTGAATTGATTTTCGAAAAGCACATATCTTATATTACTAAAAAGCTAATTTATTTATGTATTTATTTATTTGTATTTATTACCCATACAGTCCATCATAGACTAATTACATGGATAAACCGATGGCAAATACATTACAATGATAGCTATTAAATATAGATCTGGATTACTAAAGTATTATTTACTGATACCAGATTCGTAGGGAGTCGTCCATAACTGCAATGAGTGGATTCGTCAAATATATGTTCAGTTTGACAGGGTTGAATTCAATATTTGTTCTAAAATTGTTTTACGAAAAACTGATAGAGGTAAGGTCCAATCTAAATCCATAAGTAGATTGAAATTGGTTGCTAATTTAATCATAGCTGAAAGAGGTGCTCTCGATGATGTACATATTGCAGAGATATTAAACATTGGTGCGGAACGTATACACCGTGGAGGTACATTAAATGGAAGCACATTGAGGATTTCTGGGGAATTTGTTAAATTGTTTATTGATTATTACAGGAATGTCATTGATGTTAAAGTTCGTCTCTGGTTTAAGGATAGTATCTTGAATTCCGATCCTAATTGATATGTCCTGACGGTATTATAATTAGGCCACATGTGGTACTTTTTTGAATACAAATATCTCAACAGTTTGTTTTGTACTTTTTTCAAATTATTTAGATATATTTGATATTCCCCGGACCAAATAATTGAGGCAAATTCTAGTTTAGGCCTGACCAGGGAATAATATAATAATTTAATGGTGTTAATATTGGCAAAATTCGATGTTTGTCTGATAACAAAACCTAAAATATGATTAGCGGACTTAATCATGTTATTAATGTGAGTGGAAAAGTTGAATTGTGAATTATAGGTAACACCAAGATCCTTTATTTCAGTTTTTCTCTCTAGGATCTCTACCTTCATTTCTCTTCAATACGGGTGATTGAGAGTACAGAACATTTTTTCAAATTGAAATATAATTTATTTCTTAGACTCCAATCCATGGTTTTATCAATATCTCTCTGCAGACCTATACAGTCTCGAACAGTTTGAATTCGTTTGAAAAGTTTTAAGTCATCTGCAAAAAGTAAGCACTCCGAAAATTTAAGAGTTGAAGACAAATCATTGATAAAAAGTAAAAACAGAAGAGGTCCTAGGTTCGAGCCTTGTGGAACTCCAGAATTAGCCAGAAATTTTCCTGAAGTAATGTAATACTTAGTTTCATTATGAGAGCTATCCTTTCAGTAATCCAAAAACAATATGAATGCTCTTTATGATATACTCATATAGGACATTGGCTAAAAATGCTCGGGTCCAACACGTAGTTAGTCTAGTCTTATTACATTCACCACTTTTACACTTAGTACGAACCTTCATGAGTATGTGAGTTATTGTGCTAAGAGCGATACTACTTTTGTTATTTTCAAAACAATGGATCAAAAACAATTTTGTGTTTCGATTTTAAACTGCTTCTTGATGGGAAAAATGCCTTTCAAGCGGAGCAATGGCTTGAAAAGTGTTATAAGGACTCTACTCCATCAAAAACAATAATCAAAACGTTGGTTTGCTGACTTCAAACGTGGTCGTAGAGCTGAAGTTGCCGAACGCAGTGGACGTCCAAATGAGGCAGTGAAACCACAAAATCATTTTGAATGCTCGAGAAGTGGAGTTGCGTGAGTTAGCTGATATTGTTGAGATATCAGAAGAACGTGGATTGGGCTACCTATCGGGCGCGTCCCCAGGTGGCGGCTAGGGGAACGACCAGGGGACTGGTGGCCCTGACCGGGAAGCCAATGTGGCCTTACGGACGGGGTCACCGGACTCCTGGTCAAAGGCAAAAATAAGTAGGGTGTGTGGAACTAAAACCCTCTAAAAACTTTTGCGAAACATGCCACCGTGAACGAGTCTACTCAAGCTAAGGTGTAAGGAATCATGGCGACAGCTGAATGGCCGCAGCCATTTTAATCATCCTACATCTGGTACACAACACAAAAACAGAAACAACAAAAACAAAAACCAAGCCCAAGGCTGGACAGCAGTGCTCACAACAATCTAAGTCAGTGGCTGGAGATGAACAGAAGTGTCCACCTCAATCTACCGCTTGGAATGAGGCTGGACATAGCAATTCACCTTCAACAGCAAGGAGAGTTCCTGCGGCGGGTACCAAGAGCTCCGCCTTGAATCAAGGCACAGAACTGGTTGCCCCTGCAGGAAAGCTCCCCCACTTGTGTACCCCCACGAAAGGAGCCCCAAGAAAGTTGAAGAAGCCGCGTAATATCGCTGCACCTTCCAAAACCTTCGCGGAGGCCACCGTGAGACACCTCAAGGTTGCCAAAGAGAGTGTGTTTGGCGAGTCTTGGCCTACACCTGCCAATATAAAGGAGATGTCTCCTAGTGACCTGTTCACCTTCCTGGAAAGGACAGGATGGACGATGACCTAGGAGGACAACTCCTCGGGAGAATGTACAATGAGTCACATGTGACCTAAGTGCTATGAGTCTACACTCACCCCCCCTACTCTACAGATACAGAGATACAGATCGGAAGAACGTGTTGGCTTTATATTACATGAGCATTTGACTGAGAAAGCTCTGTTCAAAGTAAGCTCACTGTTGATCAAAATCAAGAACGTTTTGATGATTCTGAGCAATGTTTATCCATGTCGTCATCTGAGTGTTGAGAAACTGGTGAACCTCGTACAAAGCACTCGAAAGCACAACAATCGGCTGGGAAGGTTATGCCTCGGTATTTTGGGATGTGCGTAATGTTATATTCAATGTCTATCTTGAGAAGAGAAATAACATCAACAGTGAATATTATATAGTGTTATTGGAGCTTTTCGAGGCCAAAATTGCAGACTTACGACCCCATTTGAAGAAAAAAAAGTGCTGCTTCATCAAGACAATGCACAGTGTCACAAATCAATAGAAACGATGGCAAAATTGAATGAATTGAGCTTCGAATTCCTTCCGCAAAAACACCGTTTCATCCAGATCTGGCAACCAGCGACTTTTTATTGTTCTCAGAATTCAAACAATGCTCACCGATAAAAAAATTTGCTTGAATGAAGAGGATCATGCTGAAACTGAGGCCTATTTTGAGGCAAAAGAGAAATCGTTTCACAAAAATGGTATTGCAATGTTAGAGCGGCGCTGGAATAATTATGTGACTCTCGATGAAGATTACGTTGATCAGTAAAGCCAATTTCGAAAAACAACGTGTTTTCTTCCGGGACTCTTCAGCCCAGGTGATGTCGATGAAGATTTCCAAACAGAAATATTGTCCAGGAAAATTCAGCATATCAATTAGTCAATTACGAAAATATCATCATGATTAACAGTCAATTACTGAAATATCATGAATATTCAACAGCTTCCTTTTGAAGGTTACTATTAACTGAAACAGAGGTGAATGGAATAAGACTATGTGTTGAGCTCAAGACCTTTTAGCCCATGTATCAATTCATTCAATGACAATGATTTCAAATATGAAGCTATATAAAAAAAATAAAGACATTGAAAATACAATAATTGTTGATGACCAAAATATGCACATAAAAGAAAAGACGACCAAAGCAAACAAATTCAATACATTTCTCACACAACACGGATACAAAATGTCAAACAAAATAGCTCACACAATTTTATCACCAAATTTTTTAAAATCCGAAAAAAATAACTCATCAATATACTTACAACCAGTAACCATGAATGAAATAATTATCATAATATCAAAATTGAAAAATAACAGCTCTCCTGGAAATGATAAAATCACAGCCAAAACTATCAAACATAATTACCTACACACAACCATATTACAACACCCCTACAGTATATAATCAACTTCTGCTTTGAAACATCTATAATACCACTACAATGGAAAGAATCTGTCGTAACCCCTATTTTCAAAA